GGTTGCAAATTAGCTGTTGTCATAAATGTAAATAATAATAATAATAATAATAAAGAAATAATAGTGCTGCACCCTGTTGGTAATCCTTGTAACTTTAATGCTATTGAACATCATAGAACAGAACCAACTTGTTTAATTGAAACAGCTGTTAAGATTCATTAATTCCATTTCTCATAAGGTTAACATGGGAAACTCCAGAGCCACTGGGGCGGAGCCGATTGGACGGATCACGAAATTGATGGTGTATAAACCTATTCCATGAAATTCTACACGTATGTACCAAGTTTCGTGGCAATCGGTTCAGCGGTGTCTGAGTTTTTCACTGCCAAATATATATATATATACAAACATCCTCTTTTATACTTATAGATAGTGATGCTAAACAAGCTTTTGCATAGTAACTTTGGAGTACAAACCTTTTCTTTTTTTTAAATCCAAATTAGGTTGCAAAATAGTTTTAGGGTTTAAGATTTAGTTTTTCCCTAATATATGAAACTAGTTACTTTAATTTTGAATTCCAATTTAGAAATATCTTACACTCCTTTTCACAACCCACCAAATGTTTTCAAAAGTATAAAAATCTAGAATACAGTAGTTTCCTTTTTCGATTGAAATATTGTGCACACCCTTTTCCCCAAATGAATCTAGTATATTCATCAAAACAAGCTGGTGCGCTGCTTAAATCAACATTCCAGAGTCAATGTACACAGCTACTACAAGTTGCGCAATTAACTCACCAATATTGCTCGTTCGCAGAACCCCTTTAACACGTTAGAGTTCACCAAAGCTTGATTTTAATCATGTTTTGACTTGTGGCTCGAGTGTCAAAGACATGGAGTGTTTGGGATGGTGACAGTGCTGATGCATTAATAATTTAGTTTCACATCTTTTTTACAAAACTACAAATTTTCGTTTGATAAAATCTGTTGGAAAATATTATGATTAATAGTAGTTTACTCGATCGCGTTAAGACTATTTATTTGAATGGCGTACACTACTTTACCTACTACAGTTTTTTAATTACTAACAACCACAACTCATAACTTCTAAGAGAGGTTGGGTTTTCGTTTATAATCTCTCATTGCCACTGACAGTTATGCACTCATTGCACCAATCGCTCATAAATTGGTCTTAACAGCTGATAAGTTAACATTCGAAATATTACAATTTTACTCCTTTTCTACAATCCTTAAACCTCATTGGCCCGTCACTAGTGTTGTAATGTAAAAAAATACAAAAAATAGCTATTTACATTACAAGTGTAGTAAGAGCGTTTTTACATCACGCAGGTGAATGTTGTGCAACGAGCGAAGGCGAGTTGCATAATTCACCGAAGTGATGTAAACACGCTCTTGCGTAACGTGTAACGTACAAGATTTTACCTGACCCGACAATATTCAGGAGGTTACGAGCAATATGCTTCATTATCAATTTCACTCATCTTCTAACAGTAACGTTCATTTACAAACAAAAGCTAGGTTAGGAAAATTCTTCAAAGCATAACAATACAATTCAAACACACAGCTGATTTCTAGCGTTGAACGTCGTTGGCTCCATAGAGGTATATTTTTTAAGTTATCCACTCAATGTTATTTAAATGGGTTTCATTACATCACCGAGTGAGTTTTTTCAACTTTACATCACTCGAGAAGTAAGGAAGTTGTATACATCACGCTTGGGATAGGGAAGTTTAACATGGCGGGTTAGGTAAACTAAAAAAAACAATGCTGTTAAGTGAATCTCTTTAATTCTAAGAACTGAACTGAAAATGCTAGTTTAAAAACGGTCGAAGGTAAATATACTTTAGATAATAAACGATCAGCCTATCCCTTTAGTTTCCAATTGCATTCTATATTTAACCAGCATTATAATTTTGTAAATTTCTTGGAAACATTTGACTAGTAAAGAGAATTAAGTTTTGTGTTAGATTTCGCTCTAAAACCCGTCTAAATAAACATAACAGGCCTAATATAGAAACTACATTGCACAAAATAAATAAAAGACATCAAAATGTACATACAGGATAGAAAATTCCTTAACATGCTATTCAGCTAATATACAAGGAAAACTAACGGCGCATAGACAATTTTTGACATTATTTTGCACACTACGAAAGTATTGCTCTTAAACTCCGAGACGAAAGTATTTTAAATTTATCCCTCTTAGCTACGTTCAGAGAGCAGAGCAAATGTAACGTTAATGTTGGAATGGCGTGACAGGAGAATGAATGTGGTTCAACGTAGGACCTCTGCTTTGTGCGTTGTAGATGTAAAGACTTCTCACAAATAAATAACGGGAGGTTAGCTGGAAATAATTTTTCATTACTCCGTTAAGTAGAAATTTTCAATTAAACGTGACTTCAGCATAGCTATTGCTTCACAAGCTCTCATTTATGCAAACGAAATAAACGGTATCAGCATTCTGACACATACTTTCTCCCATAATTTTGTCAACAACCTTTATTATCATGTGTAAGCGGTGAGAGTAAATATACGGAAATGGGATTAGTACAATTTTGATCAGAATTTAAAGGACTATAACATACTAAATTTTTATCAAAATCGTTCGGGCCATTTTTGTGAAAATCCGATTTTTTCGTTAATTTATGGGGTTTTAATGGGAAAATAACATAATTTACAATTACTTTTGAACCGTACTTTTTACAGAAATGGGATTTGTACTATTTTGTTCAGAATATAAAGGACTATAACATATTAATTTTTATCAAAATCGTTCGGGCTGTTTTTGGGAAAATCCTATTTTTACGTTATTTTATGGGGTTTTATGGGAAAATTCCCATTAAAAAACAAAATTTCAAAAAAATTTTAAAAACTATCAAAATTGTAAAGACCATAACATACGTATGGTTAACATATATTGGTGTTAAATAAAAACTGGATTTTTTTTTAATCCTATTTTTCGTGTTTTTATGGGAAAAAACATAATTTACAATAACTTTTGAACCGTAATTTTTAGAAAAATGGGATTTGTACCAATTTGTTCAGAGTTTGAAGGGCTACAACATACTAAATTTTTATCAAACTCGTTAGGGCCATTTTTGAGAAAATCCGATTTTCCGGTTTTTAATGGGTTTTTATGGGAAATCCCCATTAAAAAGCACTTCTTAACTCTTGAAACTCTTTGTTGAAAATGAACCTTTAGGTTAGACACCATTGTTGATCAGGTTGTCTAGAGCTCGCAGGACCTTTTCGTCTCTGGTTTAAGTCAGGGTTTCTTCCTCCAGGCCACTTTCCTCAACAATCATCTGGCATTTCCCTGAATCTTCATTTTCCATCCTAAACTACCACTCATCCATGAACTCACTAACACACTTGCCATTTCACCAAATACCTAAGCTCTAAGATTATCGGTATACATTTTCTATTCAAATGTTTACTTTCTTCAACATTTTATTTTTTAAACGGTTTGAATGAATATATTCTTGCACCGACTAATTTCTCGGGATTCATATTCTTCTATGAATGCGGAACAAATCTGACAGTCAGTGTCTTGCTGATCATATTTTTTTTCTTTTCCAGAAACATGATTTTTCTCTTGGTAGCTGCACATGGTAAAAAAATTGGTCCTTAAGCTAAAACCATTCCTAACCTATGCAACGGATTGATTCTATTGCTGAAACACGTAGATACAGAACTCTTAAAACTGACCAAAGAGTCGCAATTTCTCTGACTTTCTTGTTTACATTTTAAATTTAGTTTAATAACGCGATCTTTAGATTTGTTTGGATATTTTAATGATTTACACGATTTAAATGTCCTACATTTAATGAGATATACATAATTAAATCAGCCATAATACTGAACATGACAAGATTTGAAACAAATTCTCAGTACGATCTGGCGTGCTGGATCTTTGAAATTTAAATAATTTCAGTCTAAAATCGCATAGCTAAAAGATAAATACTTAGGTAATTATGGGTTTAATTTTTACGTAGTACCCGGGCCCAAAATACATATTTTAATGTAAATAGCAATCAATATATACTTTTACTTTTATTCAGACCTATTTTATTTAAAATCTTACAAATATTTGTTGCGCTGTTGACAGTCTTTTATATGTTGATAGTCTGAAAATATTAAAATATTTATCATAGTCCAACGTTGCTTGGCTACACTATTGTAAACATTCAACAAACTGTGCGTCGCATCCATCAACCATACTCTGGATTCCGATAATGTTACAAGCGAAGTAGTTTTTGTCAGTGTTTTCCTTCTCTCTTGTTGAACAAGTAATAAATGTCCTCTTGGCAAAATTAAGTTGTATTTTCAACCCATCTGTAGTAAAAAATAATAATATCTAGTTAACACGTTTTAACATTTTCATATTGTATATTGTTATAGTAGTTTACGCAACGATCGCGTAAAGATAGTGTCATTAAGACGGTTTACGCGGTTTACCTACGACAGAGTTTTAATTACTAACAAACCACTACTTATAACTTCTAAGCGAGGTTATGTTTTCGTTTCTAACCTCTCATTGCTACTGACAGTGATGCGACGAATCATTTACAAAACAAAAATTGCACCACTCATTAACAATAAAATTACCCTGGACAGCTGATTAGTTAAAGTTCGAAGCTTTACAGTTTTACTTCTTTTCTCTCAATCCTTGAACCTCATTGGTCCGTTACCCGTGTTGTTATGAGTAAACCTAACTATGCTGTTATTAAAGTAAACAATGATGTTATGTGAAAATTTTCAATTCTAAGAACTGAACTGAAACGGCTACTTTAAAACACGGTCGTAAGTTAACAATACTAAGTAAATCTTTTCAATTCTATCAACTGAACTGAAACGGATACTAAAAAAAACGGTCGTAGGTAAAGTTGATTATTCACCATGAAATATGAACAAGGTTTACTGTAGCAGTAAGTAGTTACTTGATGTTAGATTATAAAATTGATTTCCATTGTAAATCAAACAGGTTTTTAAAAAAAAAAACTTAAACTGTAAATATTAGTGTATATATGGTTTACTCACGTTTGGTTCAACTATCGAGTTAAAACTGCGAATTTCCTGGAAACATATAAACAACATTTTAGCGTCTGAAAAATGTCTAGTTGACAATATTGTTTTACCATAAAACCTCTATTTTAATACCCAATACTTATATGAGAACAACATACTTTATGTTCTTACCAAGTTTAGCTGGTAATTAATGAGTAGTAACTCGTGTTTAAAAACGCAATATAAAAATATCATGCTACCACCGCATGTGATGTTATGTTACTTCATCAAGAAGTTTATACGCAACAGTTTGTTGAAAACGAAAAAAACATATGGTTTTATGGATTCTAATGAGTGGTTCACAAAAATTGAACATCAATTTACGGCTTTCCTATTCAAACAATAACTACCAACTACTTATATTTAAAGGCATTGCGATGCTAAACCTTCTCCTATAAAAATCTAAAGCATTTGCAAAACCCTTTCCCAGTAGGTTGACTGAAATAGTAATATTATCAATCTGTTAATTTACAATACACATCTTTTCGTAAGGAAGATTTAATTATCACTGATTAAAGGGTTACTCGTAAATTGTGTTTGTCCTGAAACACGAACTTAGCGACAACCTTTGTAATGAGATAAACTTGTTTTGAGAGAAAAGTTCCCAAAACAAAAATTCATTTAGCAACAGATGAGGAAATGATGATAGTTTGTAGTTCAGAGGTGATGATGATGATTATGAAAACAGTGACCTGTTACCTTATAGTTTCGGTAATATTTGATTTTTTTAAATATTTTGTTTAATAAAACATTAAGTATTACGACTGTGTATTGTGACAATATTAATGATCGTACAATCACTATAATATGGGCTTTTAGAAAAAAAAAACACTAAGAATTACTATAGCAAATTCTTTTATAAACAATGGTTGATATAATTAATCAGGTACAATAGTAATTTATAAGTCACCAAAGCTGTAAGTTAATGACGTAAGTTAGTTTAAACAATTGAATGACAGATTTTACTTATACTATGCTAATGAAAAACATTAGTTTCTAACAGCACACAGAAAACTAATTGTAAAACATAGTTTTAAGTGTTGAAAAATAATTTTATGACAATTATATCTTCTCCACGTGTTATCAGTGGTACAATAACAGGTTCAAATGTTTTTGAAAACTTTCGTAATTCATTATGAAAATGAGTTTAGACTATTAAGTAACACCCTTTCTTAAACCATAGTGGAATAAAAACTATTTCTGTATCATATGAAAACAAATAAAACACCTTATCACTAATGAAACAAAAAACCTAAATTCCAATAGCTTTCAAACATCCAATTTCAACTGTTTCATATTTTAACTTTTCGTATTTATTCATATGTAAAATTTACAATAAATTGGGGTTCGCAAACACGTGAAAGTATACAATTATTAAACATGAACAATTAAACATCCAAAATCTTCAACAAACTACTAATTTCTTCAAAAAGTAGCAGACTACGTACTCAAACTCTACGTTAAATATCAATCATCAATATTGTACAGTATTTATAACAGAAGATACAACAAGAAACTTATCTTACAACAGAACTTAGAGGAAGACCTCTCCATCGTTCAGAGGATCTTGCTGGGCTAAAGTCCTCTCGACAAGTTTCCTTATTGGGCTTTGACTCTTCCTTTTATTTGTACATTACAAGATGTTATTTATTTGTCTACAAATGGCATAAAGCTTCCAAGGAGTCCATTGTTCCAAAATAGGATGAATTGAAAGCGACATTTCCTTTGAGTTGTCCACGCATTAGAGGTTGATTCAAATGTTTTTGTATGTTACGCTTTTAGTGCTTACTGATAAAAATATTAATAGCTAAAATTACTTAATGTACTGTTTTTATGCAACTATGCTCCTCGGTACAACGATTTGAAGATAATTAATATAAACTGAAACATATTATTTGGATCGCCACTGATTACAGAATTTAACTAACTTATAGTAAAAATGAAACAACTAGTTTTTGTCTGGAAAATACATATTCTTGTTCATTATCTGCAAAAACGTGGTAAAATAACTAAGGGAATAGTTAGTTCTCCTATTATGTTGAATAGCTGTGAAAGAAAGAAATAAGTGTTAAAAACATAAATAGTAGGATTTCTAACTGTGTTGAGCCTCTAAATATGGAGGATTAAGAGAAGATACCTGAAAATTAATCACCTTTGACGACCACGGCTGGAAAGCTACTAGGGCGATCATCACAAGTATAAGTAAGTATTTCCTTTGCGAATTCGCACCTGCGATAAAACCCTATATCGAAATGTTAAATACCTATAATTATAGGTAATGTAGGTAATCTTTTTGTAAAAAGTATTAATTTCATCCAGTGTTTTTTTATTTGTGATGGAAAGACGCCTAGCCACTTTATTTGTGATCCAGAGATAACTCCAAAAGGTACTGCTCCATAAAACCATTTTGGGAACAGTGCATTTCCCATTGTACTCCTAATGTACAACCCGACTAAAAATATTTTCAGTATAGTGCATTTGAGAATAGTTTTTTTCGGACCAGTGACGTAAAAACATGTAGCATTAAGTGTAGATTACTATCTATAAGATAATTGTATCATAAAATAAGTCTATTTATTCACGAATAGTTGACAACAGTTTAATCAACTTAACTTTATTTTATGTCAGAGTTCGAGCAGCCAGTTAGTTGGTAGTAGGACATGTCACACGACAGCGTGGTAAGCAAGTTTGGAGTACGTGACTTTGCATCCGACGTTTTTCATTTGTTATATTCGTGTCGCCGTCAACCCACGTTGTATAGGCCAACGTGATGCAATATAGTGAATTAAATTAATTGAGTTCTGTGTGTACATTTTCATCCGACAAAGTAAACTTATCTAATGATAGGAATTGATGTGCACGTAGCCTTAGATAATTATGGGTATTATAAATTAGATATTACTAGTTTCTTTTTATTTTTACTGGTTTTTATTAGCGAATTTCCCATATAGGGAATAAGGCCCGCCGCAGCAAACCTGCAGACTGAGCAAATTTCCATTTGCCTGATTGTATTTACACTAAAATGTCTCCTTAAAAATATCACAGTTACTCCCTATTTATATAGCATTAGTTTTATAAGTACATTAGGATTGCTGTAAAAAGGTGTTTTTTTGTAAAATGTTAATAGTTTAGTATGAAATGAATGCATTTTCCAAATTTGATAAAAATATGCTCATAAACAAGCAAACTACAACAGTTTACAATTTTCTCTTGTGACTGTTCTCTATGTCTTTTCTTCTGTTCCGCCACTGAAGAGGAACGAGATCAAAATTCAACAATCACCTTGGCGGTTTGAGTAAGTTACATTTTTCAAGAATAGATCAAATCTCTCTTGATGGTAATGAAGATAATGAGAGTGAGTTAATGACTCCCTTAGGTCTTAGGGGGGGGGGGTTTAAGGGGGGGGTCTAAGGGGCCTGTTGAATTTCATATGATACTGTCATGTAAAAGTTAAAACGAATTCATTTGCGTTGGCAGACACTTACAATTACGTCATACAGAGTATGATGTTTATTTTAGCGAATTTCCCATATAGGGAATAAGCTATTACCAGAGTACTCATGGTAAGACCTGGACGCGGGACCGTTTTTTTTTCGTTTTGAGGTCCCTAGAGGCCAAAAACACCATCCGTTCAAATTCATATATATATATATATATATATGTGTGTCCGTCAGCACGATAACTCATGCAAAAATGATCCGATTTTGATGAAATTTGGTACAAACGTGTAAACGTACGTTTATTCGAACGAGTTCGCGATCCAGCATGATCGGACCATGGGAACTGGGGTTTACGGGGGGTTTTATGGGGTAAAAATAGGTTTTTCCCATTTTTGACCCAAAAAACATAAAATTTTGCAATTTCTTTCCAAACCATTTTGTAGAGATTAAAAAAACAAATAATTTGGTATATTGAAGCGTTATTATGCGCCTAATAGTTACGGAGAAAATTCCAAAAAATCGTAAATTTAAAATTCCCATGTTATTCTTATGGAGAAATAGTAAACTGTTGTAGTTTGCTTGTTTGTGAACATATTTTGATCAAATTTGGAAAATGTTTTTATTTCTTACTAACTATTCACATTTTACAAAAAAAAACAAAAAAAACAGTTTTATCCTCGCTGATTCAGCAAACCTAAGTACTTGTTAAACTAATTTTATTTAAATCAAGAATAAATGTTATATTTTTAAGTAGACATTTCAGTGTAAATCCAATCAGTCAAATGGAAATTCGCTTAGTATGCAGGTTTGCTGCGGCGGGGGTATTTATATATTTATTATTTAGAAATTAATCATACATTTTGATACGCAGAAACAATAATATGAGGTTAGATACATTTGGCAAGTTAAATGTTCAATTTAAATTTTATTTAGTAATGGTTAACCGAATTGAACTTCAATTTACAAATATTTCTCTTCATCTTCATCACCGTGTTTATAGAAAATTCTGTTATTCGCTTACGTAAACATGAAGTTTGACTTGGTCTAAATAGTTTACCGTGGGTATCGTGCTCACATTTAAATATGGAGGTTGCTGGTTTTATTCCAAGTAATGTTGTTTTTATGTCCAGAATCCATTCGTCAGTATTCTTTCCAATGATGCTATCAAAGGAAAAGTTCAACGTTAGATTACAAGACCAAGGTTTCACCAGTTTCCATATGAATAAAATCCAATAGTTTTAACACACAAAACACAAAACAAACCACGCAAAACGTGTCTGGAATGTGACATTTCCTAATATGCACAGGTCAAGTCACCACCACCCTCCACCCATTGAAGGGTGACAGTCAGATAAGTCCCAGGCTCAAACCACAGACCACAGATGTTTAACACATGGGCTGATAGACACATGATATGGCATTCCTCTCGCGAGGGACGTGAACAACCTTTAAAGTGATTCCTAAGATAATAGAGCTAGAACTGCTACGGTTCAGAACTTATATTTACCGTATCTTGAAACAAATAATAGGACAAAGCCATGTAGAACTTTTCCTGTGCTGGAGATCTAC